CCTTCTCCAATTATTTTTACTGTTGCTGATCATTGAAGATAATTTATTCCAGTATCTGCATCAAGAATATACTCACATATTTAATGTCATATTTTATTAAGTAGTGGAATTTTCTACACTTTTGTAGCAGACACGCGGATAATCTGGTCAGACCTCTGAATTTACAAGTGATTTAGTGGTTATTTGGTTTTTAATATTGCAGATCAAAATGCTGAAAACACATTCACAAATTAGTACTCCCTTATGATACCCATGTGTATGTTAAAGTGTTGAAAGTAAGTTTGAAAACCTCAAATTGTCCATAAGAATATAACATCAAACTCAAGCTGAAAAAAGTGATCCTGTTTATCCAGTCCCCTCATCTGTACTCTCTGTACTGAAAACAGATACTTCTATTGCTGACATTAAAATTGTCAGCACTTTGAGATAGCCTTTCCATAATGAGGATACAAAATAAATCACCAGCATTTTATCATAGAGGCAGTTTCCTTTTCCTGTGTATTTTTTTCCTGTGTGAATGGGTGTGTGTGTTTGCGTGTTGGAATTTTCAGATTTGCATTTCAAAATTAACAAACTCTTCTCTACATGTAAGTATAAAGCATTTGCCTTCATAAATGTTTTCTATTTTGAAGCCTATTATGCAATGAGAACAAAAAATATTTAACTGGGGAGGCCTCATAAATTCATACAAAGTATGGTAGAGGCATTGTTAAAGAAACCGCTGCAGGTGTTTTGGAGTTCCATCAGACAGCTGCTGCATTTGAAACATCATGGTATTTTGGTGTTCTCTCAAAATACAGTTAAGATTCTGTTTCATTTACATTATCAGAAGTTTTAGAAGTTTGAATCAAAGCTGAAGCTATCATATTCAGCAGTAGATGTGTATTTTATGAGAGTTCTAATTATAGTTCCATTATTAAAAACTAGGTTACAATATGTTCCGGTGCTATCATTATGTACACCCTGCAGAACCTCATTATTTTATAAATAAGTTTCTTTTGAGGACAAAGAAAATCTGTTACTGAATAAAGTATTAAAATTAATATGTTCCGTGTGTTTCAATTCACTTTGACTTTCAAGATACTGCTTGCCATTTAGACGGTAAACCAATAAGGTATCACTAAAGAAAATAATATATATTGTATACCATTAAAACAGGAAAAACACAAAGGTCTCTTGGATTCTATTCTCCAATTTCTCCTATGCCTGTGAATTACAAAGTATCTTGTCTCACAAACATTAACATCCAACTTTTGGCCTATCTTTCTGAAACAATGACAACTTGCTTATTTAGATGAGTGATATACTGCTTTTCCAAAGCTGAGATTTTCTATATAGCCCACTTTCTCGTTATTAAGAAAAAGAGTAGAAATTAGAGAGAAACTGCTTTTCTTGAGAAGCTGTTAGAGACCTGCAACTGCATTTTTTTTCCCAATTTTCATCTTAAAGCATTCCACTCAACATGCAAACAGAAGTTTTACAAGAGATGTGGATTCACCCACATCTTGCTGACAGTTCTAGGTGCCCTTTCCTAGGCTTCAGTGGAAGTTCAGATTGGATATTAAGAAAAAAATTCTTCTCTGAAAGAGTGGTCAGGTGCTGGAATGGTCTGTCCAAGGAGATGATTGAGTCATATTGTTCCTGGAGGTGTTCAAACATTCACATGTCATACTGAAGGACAGTTTAGTGGAGAAATATGGAGGTAGGACTATATGATCTTGGAAATCTTCACCAGCCACGGTGATCCTATGATTTTTTGGTAGCACTTCAGAGAGTTGTTAGGGTCTACACATCACAGGCAGAAAAGTGTCATGATGTTACAGTTGAGATTTCGTTACGAATCTGTCATGTTACAGACTTGATTCCTTAGCTTTGGCTTAATTGCTGAACTCAGATCTTCTGAGTTTAAAGGTATCTACACATACTCCAACTGCAGTGTCACAGCACACATGGCCAGAAAAAGAACTGCTGCAACCCTCTGGATCTATGACTTGAACAGATGGAATCTTTTTTCCCCTACAATTGGTCAGTATACATGTTGGTTCTTAGGGTATCCTAATTTTTATATTAGAAAAATATTTTCAACAATTTACTGTTATTTACATTTACATTACCAGTCATGTGACTGCAGTTTATAAACATGAATATTTTCAAAGCTTACTGTAAGAATAAAAGTAGTAGCACTGACAGTCTGTAGATACCGAGTTTCTAGGAAAGGAACACACTTTTTGGAGTAGCATTCCTTTGTATCACAAACTCAACATAAATTAAAATATAGAACATTCACAAAGTTTTTACTTTCACTCCAGAAGTAGGGTTGTTTTTTGTTGTTTTTTTGTTTGTTTGTTTTGGGGGACCGAGGGGGCCCTGTAGGGAATAAGGTTTGTGAATTACATTAAAACAATTTAATTCAACTCAAAATATTTTCCAACTGATTAACAACCTGGATTTCACCAGTCATGTATAAGAGAGATGGATTACCAACATAATATGTTCCTGCGTCTGAATTCAGAGCCCTCAGGTCACCTTTAAGACAGCATCTCTGCTACCACATGGAAGAAGGGAATGCAAACTAATTCTACTTTTACAAAGTTAACAATGATGAGAAATCATTAACCAGGAATAGCCTGCTAACTGAAATCAATTCCCCAGTTAAAAACAGAGATAGATATGAATAACTGAAAACAGGTCATAAGAAAAAGGGGTTATAAACTGTAGGATTTCTAATGAAGATCTACTTTGTTGCTTTGAAGACTACGTTTCCCAGGACATACTGGTCACTAAAAGAGTGAGAAATACAATGCCTAAACACTGAGTAGCTATTGTCCATGACCCCTTACATCGCAGCAGAACAGAATCAGGGACTTGTCTATTCTTGTCCTGAAAATCCTAGCTAGAAATAAAGTCACGTGGTATGTGACTGCAGTGAGAAGCAAACCATATTTTCTGCATGTTTACCATGCAGGCAACCAGGAGGTATTGAGCGTACCAGACACAGATTACTAAACATTTCAGACTAACTGTCTTGAAACTTTTCTGGTGTTCCATACATACATCTTTTTATTTTTTATTTTTTTTTTTTAAATGAGAGTGATCTGTCCAAGATTTAAAAATCAAGGTGTTGTTCCCTGCCCTCTCCCCAACCCCCCCCTGGTTCTGATTGCTGGAATAAAAAGACTGACTCGAAAATACAGGTGATGCATGAGACAGAGTAAAACTCAAACCATACTGTTTAGGAGGTTTTCCTTATAGTCCAAATAAAGTATTCCTCCGAGATGTTGATTAACTCGTGTTCAAATACAACTATAAATACTATTTATGGAAGCGGAGTGAGAGGTAGCTAAAATATCATTTACGTACACTCCAATGAACTAGAATTGGAGAAAATACATCTGGATCATTCAGACTACTGGATCTAACATCTGCTCATAGGTCATAATTTCACCATAAGCTTGTTCTTCCTGCACTTGGTCTTTTTTCCCCTCAGTAATTACAGGCTTTAATACTTCATAAAACAAGAGTTTATGAGCCAGCAACACTTAAAGAAAATTGTATTTTCTTCTGGTATAGAAGCAACAGTTAGTATTCTGTGATCACTTGTGTGATCGTGAGGAAGCCTAACAGGCAATAAATTTCAAGTTAGGTTACATTAGATGACTGCTTCTAGGGCTATTTCTTTGTATGTAGAAGACTGAGATAGTACATTATTCAAGCTAAAGTCTCACTCTTGCCAAGTAAAATAAAATAATTACATCTTGCACCCTCTGTCAAGCACTTCCATTATCCCAGACTAATAATTTTTTCTTTTTCCCTTTTCAATAGCATTATGTTGGTGACTCATTTTGTTTGTCATTCAACACATTTCTCAGAGCTCTTCTATACTTTATTATTGCCAGCCCAGTTACTCCCCCTTTTGTATGCATACATTTGACTCCTGTCCTAAATACAATACTTCACATTTGTCTCATAATTCACTGATCGATGTGAGGGCTGTATTTCATCCTGATCCATTCCTCCAAACTGCCGGACATCTCTGCTATAAACTTGCTGAACACAAACGTGTGCTGTCTAAATCACTTAAGTCACTGTTAGGAAATACTCCAAGCCACAGAAAAGTTGTGTGGGACTCCTCGTTTCACTGCACCACTTCTGGGCATGTTATTCAAAATCACAGTGGTTATATTCACATTATCTTTATTCTCATTTTTAATGAGAAGAATCAGGTGAGACCTAATAAAAAGCTAGACTAAACACAAAATATACCACAGCTACTAATTCATTATTCCCTATTGCCAATTATTACCTAGCAGATAAAATTACAGATTATGAGGTTGACTTATTTTATTACTGGAAAAAACAATTCAGTAATTATCTGCCAGAACCTTCAAAAAGATTTAATCAAATTAATAGCTTCAGCTCAGTTTTTACTGGGTATTAAAGGTAAAACTATTGTATACTGCCAAAGGAAGAGGGAGCTTCTTCAGTGAGTCTTCCTTCTCACCCCTCCTACCCCACTCCCCCAAACTTTAATGTTCTCTATGAGTTCACAAAATGTAACTTTTAATATAATATAATTGACTTTGACCATTTGCTGACTTGATTACAAATCTTATCTTTGACCTTGCTCCTTTCCAACTCATCCGGCTTTGTTAAATTTGTTTGAAACTACAGACCAGAAGAGACAGGCCCAGCAGAAGAAACTCCTCAGTACATTAGGAATATAACAACAGAATCCAACAAAAAAGTATCTGTGTAACTAGTTTGAGATTTGAGAACAGGCAAAATAAATCTATGCAGAAAGTTATTTGAGAAGAGGATATCTTCTTGCATTTCAATTCCTATAGAAATAATAGGAAATAAAACTTGAATGTTTTTAAATAGTCAGCTGTACTCAGCAATACCTGAAACATGTCATCACCTTGAAAAAATAAGCCTCAGTGGAGGAATTTACAAATATACAAAGCATATTTTGATTTCTAAATAATGATTTAAAAAATTACCTTAGCAAACTGTGCATTTATCCATTTTGTGAATGTTTTCTTTTGAACATCTTCCCGTTCATCTGTCAGAGGAAAGTAAAGCACATATTAGAATGATTCAACAAAACATGACGATATTACTGATTTAAAGCTTTAATCTTGGTTTGTAATAAAGCTACCAAAAATAATTTAAACTCATTCAGGGTGCCTGTCTGGATGCATTCTGTCCCTTATATTTTTAAAAGCTTACAGGTGCCTTTATAGTCATTGGTTCTGAGGCCTATATCCCTGACTCATCTCATCCGATCAGAAGCATGTTTTCTCTCTGAGAGATAACATGCTGCAGTTAGGACCTGAACTGTTGCTTTTAAACCAAAAGAGTGGAGATTTGGGTTACATGTTAGAAGGAAATTCTTTCCCCAGAGGGTGGTGAGGCTCTGGGACAGCTGCCCACAGAAGCTGTGGCCCCATCCCTGGCCAGGCTGGATGGGCCCTGGGCAAGCTGAGCTGATGGAGGAAGGGCTTGGAGCTGGGTGGACCTTAAGGTCCCTTCAACTTAAGCTATTTGAACAGGATACCTAGAATTGTAATAGAACACACACAGTGATTGCAGCAACAGGAAACTGTTCTACTGCACTTAATGAAAAGTACTTAAAATAACAAGTTTCTGTTCATATCTTCAGATTTCTCTGTGAAGTGGAGCCTCCTGGATCACGATGACATGTCTCCAGTGGCAGCCCCTACCATCTCTTCACTTTTTTTTTTTTTAAATAGGTTACTTCCCCATTATGATTTGTTAAATATTTTCTTTCAAGTGGAAATAAAACAAAAACAAACAAGGACACATTTGTTCAGCCATGCAAGTATCAGACCTAGATTCTATTGGTATCTAAATCATGAGTACAGATACAGAATGGAACTGGACAGACAGATACAATTCAGATGTATTTTACGTAGAGAAATAAAGATGCTTTAACCATAGAACCTTGTAAGCAGTTGCTCAGAAACATTAGACAACATTTGTGGAATAAAACAAAAAGATAGACCTCTTTGGATGACGATGTCAAAACAAACTAAAAGGGCATAATTTTAAGAAGGCAGCAGAATGCTTATACTAAAACAAAGCTCACTCAGAGCTATCTGTCTTCTGCTTTACAGTAAAATTCTGTACACTTCTTAAATAAAAAGGGATATTCAACTCCCATATGAGATGTTCAGCAATTAATAACTTTAATGGATTCAGATGGATTTGAAAGACTGGTATGGATGAGCCACATGAGAAATGTGCAGCATTAATAATGCACTTTGCTTTCCCTCCCCCTGCTCCTCCAAGGAGACAAGTCAAGACAAATACATCTTTTCTTAAAAAGTCACCTCAATAGCAGACATTAAAAGTGTCTTTTTCAAGACTGTTTTCCTTTTGCAATAATTCAATATAATTGTGAGAAAAATAATACCACAGCTGGTATTTCGTAATCAAAGTCTTCATACTGGATAGAGCAGATTGCTATCAGAGGTTCAGGAGTAAAAAGATTTACAATGCTATGATATTACTAGAAACATTCATAATAGCTGGGCAATATACGTGTTCTGCAACTAATGTTAGTGAGTGTTGGCTACAATGAGCTTTCTCGAGTGCTACTGCTATCTATCCCTAATAATGCTTCTTGCTTCACCAGGAAGCATCAAGACATGAAGGAGATCCAATGCTTTTGGTAATTAATGATGCTAAAGCTGTTAAAATTATGTTTTTTACTTGCAGGCGTCTCTATTTTCAAGTAAAATGTTTATAATACAGATTTTGACTTCTTTCAACCATTTGCTAGAACCCATTAGCAGAAGATGGGATAAAGAAGATACATTTTACTGGTGAAACATACACATTGAATCTGATGCTGTATACAAACTTCTTGAACAACTTCATATAAACTATTTCACATGAATAGCTATTTCTGCTTAATAATCTCTAATAAAAAAAAAAAAAAAAGAAAAAAAGAGAGACCATAAAAGGAGGTAAAAGAATATGTGGAATTAACAGATAAAAGGAGAGACAGAAATGCCTACATGCCTTCTAGTCACCAACTCATTTATTTTCCACCCCAGGCTACTATAGCATATTCAGTAACAGTGTGATTTCGTTTTGCTTTGTTTTTATTATTATTATTGTTGTTTTTTAAATCACTTTCCCAAAAGGATCTATGCCAGAGAATGAACTCCTAATCACCAATTAATTTATGTTCATTGTGCTAATAAAAAAGGATCTCCTGAGGAAAAAGAGAGCTACACACAAAATTAGAATATTTGAAACTTTGAAAAATTTCAGGCAATTCTCTGCTACCTTCGCAAACACAAATCTCTTCCATTGCAGTTCTTTTATGGAAGTAATTTCAAGCACTTGTGCAAGCACCTCTAGACGCTTGCACTGACAAGTTTATGTAACATACTAATCTGATAGTGACAGCCTCCTAATCTAAAACAGAGCCCATCTTAGTGTCCTGCATGATTTCCCTACAATAAGCAAGATTCTGTTTCCTCAAAAAACAGAAAATAAAATCCAGAACCAGAAAAACCCACAATGGTCTCCTAGCACAGATTTACAGACATAATACTAGTGGAAGCTAAATGACATTTGTCTGGGTGCTGTACAGTGCCAAGAACACTCAGCTGCTGCTTTCATATCATATTGCTGTGCCTGTAACAGATCCTTCAGCACCCCACCTACACCCTTGTGTTTTTACTTTGAGGCAATAGGAATAATCAAGAGGCCAGGAAGGTAATTCTTTCAACTGCCCAAAGATATACTATGTTTACTTCTTTTATTTCAAGGGGGAAGAATTACAGGTAAATCTAAACTTGAAACATGGTGCGGATCGCACATACTCTTACTGAAGTAACACTGCTATCATTTACCACAGTAAATATGTTTTCCTCAAAATGCTGGGCCTTGACTGGAAGGCAAACAGACCCTTTTTTTCCTGTATCTTATCATCCAAGATAACAAACACACTGAGATCTATAGAAGGCCTCCTTTAATGTCAGAATAAAAGATACTGACCTATGAGAATTATGTGCTTTATTTGTGCTATAGCATCTTTTACCTCTGCATAGAAATTGTTTTAACTAGAATACATTCACAAAGGGATCTTACAGTTCTGATGCATTTCTGGTAGTATGAGCATCCAGCTTTGTAACTGCGACTATAAGCCTCTTGAATTAGCTAACTCCACATTTGACTTTAAAAGTATTATTCCAGGCTAGAGTTCATAGAAAATTATGACTAGGAATGAAAGCGCGGTATTAATGGAGTTAATCATCTCACAAAGGCCATTTCTAAGATTTAATCAGGTGACAAGGCTAATACGAATAAGTGGTACACCAAAGAATGCTTAGCAACACACAATCAGGATTCAACAGAACAAAATGCTGTTACTAATGGCCAGCAGATACCAGACAAATTTCTCAGTTACATAATAAACTATTTCATGTTTGCAACCCACTGTCCAAATGAAATTCCTTTTTATTTTCCACCAAAAAACAAGCATTATGCTGCCATTCCTTGATCTTTACAAAATGACCTCACCTCAAATACCACCTAACACATTAAGTAAAAAACGGCAACAGGAAAAAAGTAATAATCTGATATACTACAAAGACTACCCAGAAAGCAAACAGCAGTATTAATACAAAACCCACAGCTTTTAATTATGTGGGCTGACAACCAGTGAGAGGATTTTATATGGACTAAATTGACAACACATACAGACAGTATGTGTGTATATATATATATATATGTGTGTGTGTGTGTGCGTGTGTATGTGTGTGTGGGCGTGTGTATCATAAAAATAGAATGATGTACATGAGCCATTTTCCCCGTGAAAAACCTGGAGCATTGGTTAAGAATCTTCCACTATTTGGCACATCCATTCCTACATGGTTGGAGAATCTTCAGTCCCTCTTACTCTTCAAGCAATGAATAAATAGCACTTTCAACAGTGCGGTTGAGGCTGCAAGGCACCTCTGGGGGTTGTCTGGTCCAACCTCCTTATCAGGCAGGGCCACTTGGAGCAGGCTACCCAGGGCAACTTGAATCAGTTTTTGATCATCTCCAAGGATGGAGTCTCCACAGCCTCTCCTACTACATACTACAACACCAAGGCCTTGCCTTTTCTATCATCTGCCTTCTGCCTTTCACAGACGCAGACAGGGGGTGGTTCTGATGCAAGTGGCTTAGAAATCACTCTCAAAAATAAGCACAACCCATTTGTAGAATCCATTTTTCAAAGGTAGAAGACTTTGAAGAAAAGTGAGCTGGCACCTCAGGAATATGGGAAATGAGCTGTATCTTCACATTAAATTTTTTAATTTGAAATAAGCAAATAATCATTTTCTTTAATATAATGATAAAGAGAATACGTAAAATGAATGGAATATTCAAATAACTGCAGAGACAATTAAAGGAACCTAGCTTTTGTCACAAAAGACTTCATGCTGTCTTCAGCAAGTAGCTCCACCACAGTTTGGAAAACAAGAAAGCAAAAAGACAACATCTTACTCTCTTAATCATTGTTGCTTCTAGCTGTGTTAAACAATAATTAAGTAATTATGTTTGACCACCAGGAACAATCAAATAAGAAGAAAAAAGATAAAGGGAAAAGGATTTTTCCCATATATGAGCTGAAAGCTGTTAAGCAATGGTATTAAGGCAGGTGACAATTCCTTTATTGGTCAACTGCATGTTCGTCTGAACACCACACTTTAGCAAGTAAAACCACCAAAATTAATATTTTATTTTCTAGCAGTCAAACAATGCAGATTTAGAGAAGACCAGGATTTGCTTCAGTGAGTGGAAGTGAATACCAGCAACAACAGAGCACCGGGAACAAAAAAGGCCATACAGTCACATCATTGATACTCTGCCTCTATCAATTCACTATTCTTAGTGATTTCCAGCACATTGTTACAATACTCTACCAGTTACTACAACTGCTGAGAAATGTTCCTTTACCATTCTTGCTTATCTGAGGAGGAAAGAAGAAATCAATGCAATACAATGACTGAATGCTATTTGAGTGCCCTAGCTTTG